ATCTTTTAACTTTTAATTTATATGTATAATTTTTAATCCAGTACATAGCTTGATTTTTTTCTTAACTCAATTGAGAATCCTGATTTTTTAGTAAAGAATTTTAATCTATTTATATTTATTTTCATAGCTGACTTTTTAATGTTTGTCTCTTTGTCTCTGTCTTTATCTCTGTTTCTGTGTCTCTCTCTGCCTCTGTCTCTCTCTCTCTCTCTCTCTTTCTCTCTCCATTGCTGTTGCACTTTTCCTTGTTGTTATACACTAAGGTTTCTTTGGACCTTTTAAACTTATTATTGGAGTGCTTGCCTGAAATTTTAATTAACATATGCAATCCTTTATTTCTCTAATCATTCCAAGAATGAAACAATCTCTTGACCTTTTACTTTGTTAGATGATGGAATTAACATGCAGCAACCATTTTCTTATTATCTATGTTCATGAAAAAATAATTTTGTTTTTATGTGTTTACCATATGATGGGTCTGAGATCTTTGCTTTTTTTCAGGAGCTAGTCATTATTGCTAAAATTATAGAAAATATTGCCATGGAATTTTAGATCTTTAGCATCATCCAGTCTAAATGCATTATAGTAATAAAATCACAGAATTTAAAAGATTGCTCCAGATAGCAGTATTAGACCTAGAACACAGGTTTCTTGGTCACCAATCTTGTACTTTTTCTGCTATGCTATAATGTACTACTAGCAGTTGTGCCTGTGAACAACCTTGAACTTATGTAGGGCTGGGGAGAAGGGGAGAAGTGTGTAAAGGAAGAGAGCATTGAAGCTTAGAGAAAGGAATGATGGAGGAGAAAGGGATCATTTAATAGAGGAAAGGAGATAAGCTTCGACTTCCACAGAAATATCCAACTGAAATACAGCCTTTCCCTGCCTGCCTCTGTCACCATCAGCAGGGGTTTGGAGTGCGTGCAGAAATCTTCTGATGTGATAATAAGTCTTAAAGAAGACTTAGTTGGGCCTCTTTGGTTATTTGGCTGCTCCAGTGCTATGGATTTCCCTTCTGTTCCCTTTTATTGAATTTTTATAAGAAGCCACCTGGTTAACTATTTTGGATTTAGGGTGATATGTAACATGAAGAACAGACTGGTTTCAACCAATACCTAGCCACCAATAAAATAAAAAATAAAGGAGATAATTGTAATCCAAAACAGCATCACATTTTAATGGATTGTGATTGAGATAAAGAAGCTGGTCAATTATCCTTTAGCCTAGAAACATAATGTTTTGGGAAGGATATCAGCTTAGAAAAGCTCTGGCATGAGGAGATAGTCCAGCTTTTCTTCCCAATATCCAGGGTTTCCAAACCAAGTACAGTAGACTTAATAAAATGTACCCTAAGGGAGGTCAAGGAGAGTTGAGCTATAGTTCAGCTTCCATGAACATAGAAACCCTGTCTGGTCCCTATGTCTTCATATGACTCTCTGGGCAGCACACCAAAGTAGATAATCATTTCTGTAAGACCCAGTTTATCACTAGTTTTCGTGGTCATTGTTTCATTTTCTCTTTTAATAGTCACTACCTGCTGAATTATTGAAATGAGGAGATCGAGATCTTATAATTTCTAGAGCTTATGTAGAAGGGTTTCCAGGTGTTTTTAAGGATTATATTGCTCTTATTCATTTCTCCCTTTTCACCACATGTCTCTTTCTGTCAAGGAATTCATTGTGGCTGCAGATTGTAATTAAATAATTGTCAAATATTCTGTAGACAGTATTATTAGCCTCATGTTAAAGATAACACTCAGGATCAGACCTCTCTAAATTAACAAATGCCCTAAGTGCATTTACTTGCTGGTTCACATGGTCCATGTGCCTACATAACATTTAGCCCTTTACACACACACACAGTATCATTGATTCTTTGGTAAATATTTGTTTACTGAGATGGTCTGGGTGAAAATTATGCTTTAAAATACGGTCTATTACCTTCTGGCTGGTAGTATCCTTTGCAGTATGGCTTCAGCTGCATTGGACAATGGTCAATAGCTATAACTCCTTTCTTCCTACTGGGTACTACTGTGTTTGTCTTTGGAATCTCTCCAATACATTTACTTCTTCATATTCCATTTCATTAACTGTTGAGGAATCATGTCATGCTCCAGATCAGTAAGCTTGGTTATTAGGATACAGGTTTGTTTCTCATGTACTGATCATATCATGGGGCATTATTGTCTCTACTTTTTATTGACTTTGGGTGACTCTCAACTTGGATGTGATTCCTGTTACCTGCTAAACTTTTAATTCAGTTTTAAAATTAACGCTTTGATGACAGTATGCCTTTTTCTACAGGGAAATCATTTGCAAATGTATTTTCCTTATCTATACACCAGTAACAATGTGTGGTCAAGAAAGTCAAACTTGGTGCATTATGGCACTACCTTATCCATGAACTCGCTCCATTGTACAGAGGAATATACAATGTACATTGTACAAAGCCCCAACGCAGGCTTTGATCATCCTTGTGGTCTCAGAGAATGGTGACTCTGCTAACCCTGAAGAGCAGGCTGAAGTAGTGATTTCCTAGCCTGACTGAGCTCCTGTAAAACTGTGGGAGAGTGTTCACAAAATGCAGACCCTCTAGCTTCATCCTGATCAACTGAATCAGACTTGCAGGGGTCCTGGAGTCTGAGTTCTGAAGCAACTCTTTAAGGAATAACAATGCTGTTGGAGCTATTGTGGGAGGAAGCTGTGTTCTGGGGGAGGTTAGGCGCTGTGTGCGTGCGTACATGTGACTGAGGTACTACGAAGTAGCGTATCAGAATAACAAGGGACTTTCAGTGCTCACCTCTCACTTTATGAGGAGGCCACAGAGGTCTTTGCGGGTTAAGGCACATGATTAAGTGCACAGTTAGTCAGTGGAGAATTGTGAAAACAAAGGAAAACCAAAACCAGTGTTCTGATTCTTAGTTCAGATTCATTTTCTCTCAACTAAGCCATCTTTATTAGTTTTATGAAGTACTACTACTTCTAAGCTCAATATTTTCCCCAGGAGAGGAAACATAAGTATTTTCCTAGCCTAAACATTAGAGCATAAAACAGAATTTGAAAAGCAATGAGTTAACTCAGCATTGCAGTTTCAGCGCACAGATACTTGACAAATGTTAAGTGATTAGTGAAAAAGTCACCTGTGGCCGAGGTTGATAGCAAACAAGCTGGTGTGCCGAGATGAATGCTGTGCAATCAGCCCAGGATTTGGAATTATAAAACCCTAGGAACAAATCTTGACTCAACTGTGGTATTCCAGCCAACCTGAATCCTCAGTTTCTAGATAAAATAGGTATAATTCCTTCCTCTCGTGTTTGTTGATAATTGGTAGCTAGTAACTGATCTTTCATTTATCGAGTGCATATTAAATGCCAGGCACTTGACAGATTATTAAAACTCACGCCGACCCCATGAGTGTTCAGAGTTGCCCACTGGTTGCCTGGGGTTATGGAGGTATTAAGAAGCTGAGACTGGAGTTCTCCCAGGTTTCCTTTACCATGCTATCTTTTGAGGAAATGACAGCTATCACGAGCCCCTCCTCCTCACTCAGAAGCTGGTATCATTCAGTGGTCAAGCACATTGCTCTGGAGCCAGACTTGGGCATTAAGTCCAAGGAACTGGATGCTCCCTGAGTGCTTCCTTACGGTCTCTGTTTCTTGATTTTCTTGTTTGTAAAATGAAGATGGTAATCTACTTAATAGGGTTTTAGTGAGGAAACCCAGTGAGCTATCAATACTTGTATTGCTTTTTACCCCCCAGCAGTGAATGCTGGGTCTCATCCTAGCCATGTTGTGGAACCTTGTATTAAAATGTGTTTGCTTGATTTGCTTTTTAGTGGTTTCCCTGAATTGAAGGCACAATTGCAGTAAAGGTCTTTGTCTTAGTTGCACCCTCCCATTCCTCCTGTCTGGGCTTGGCTTCCTCCCTAGTGGGTAGTAGATTCTCTCAGGTTCCATGTCCCTGAAGCCCTCTAAAGTTCATGTGCTGAACGGGAGGACGGACCAGTATCTGAACAGTACCTTACCACACACTTTCTACCTGCTTGGCAAATGTGCTGACAGAGGAAGGAGTTCTGAGCTCTCAGCAGAAAGGAGCCCAGTTCCCAGGAGGCACAAAGTGAAGCCAATGTGTAGATGACAGCTGTGACGTGTTGCTGTGACATAGCTTCAGCCATGGGCTACTCTTTGTGTATGTTCCAGGGCTTAGAGGGTGAAAGCAGACACAGCTAGTGTTACCTGCACTAGTGTGTGTGTGTGTATGCATGTGTGCTTGTGTGGTTAGGTGGTTCAAGGTTCCTTTTTGATATTGAATACAAGAGAAGATGTTTGTGGTGGTACACATCTGTGATCCCAGCACTTTGTGAAGCTGAGGCAGGAGAATAGCAAGTTTGAGCCTCATCTGGGCAACTTAGAAGCATAATGAAACCCTGTCTCAAAAAAGAAGACCTCTCTATATTTTTACTTTGTAAGCAGAAAGAACTTTTTCATCAAAAACATGAAACAGCACTTACTAAAATTTACTTCAGGAACCAGAAGTCTGACAAGTTTCCCACAGTCTCAGCTTTCCTCACAGAAGTAATGCACAGGTCTACTTCTGGGCCTTTTATAACACTTTATTCGTTGTCACAGAACAAAGTATTGTAACACTCCCCGATCTCTCTCCTTTCTGCACACTGTGTTTTTCATCAAGTACTAGGACGGGGCAGAACCACGGCCCAGGGGCAGAGCTTGTGTCTCAAGCTGTGTCCTCCCTCCACCAAGGGTTGCATGTTTGATTGAGTTGTGCCTTGTTTACCAGAGTTAGCACACATCGGCAACATGTGCTAAAATGTATCATGGCAATTTATTGGCAAGCACCACTAAATTCAGTACTGAATTCTGTCTGTATTTGCAGGATAGCAACTTTACATGCCTGTAAATACCTGGTATAAAGAAGAAAGGCATGTGATGAGCTAAGGGAACAAAATTGGTAAAAACAGAAACTAGGTGATTACTTGAATTGCAAAGAGAAACTTCACTCTTGAATCTTTCTTTAAAAGTAATAATAATGTCTTACATTTGCATGACAGGAAAAGCTTTGCAGATGCATTTCACATACATTATCTCCTTTGCCTCTCAATATTCCTATGAACTAGGTGGAATAGTTACTATTCTCTGTATGCTTTATGAGCAAAATAGAAAGCAGCCTTAGCACATTTGAAATGTAATTTCCTTTACAAAAATTCACCTCATCACCTCTTTAGAAAGTACAATCCATTGTGAAAAATATGCCTACCTCCTTTTACTCATATATATGTATAGTTAGGGTCCTGTTTCTTTCTTTCTGTGTAACAAATTACCCTAAAACTTAGTGGTTTAAAACATCATTTTACTATTTTAAATTGTCATTTTAAAACATTTTACTATTTTTCGGTCAATGGTTCAATATGATTCGGTGGGGTAAGTGCTCTGTTTCCTGTGGAGTCTCCTGAGATCTCTTGGTAATACTCATCTGTGAGCTCCAGAGCTGATCTGGAGATCCCAAGATGGCTTTATTCATAAATTTAGTGCTGCATGGGGATGGCTGGACTGTCAACTAGAACACCTACACTTAGTGCTTGCAAGATGGTATCAGGAGAGTTGGAAACTCAGGGCTTTTAAAGATACTGGTCCAAGAAAACCTAAATGGAAGCTGTCATTTATTAAGGTCTAGGACTCAGTGAAAGGTAAATCTTTCAAAACTTTCAGTGATACAAACAGCCCACCGCAGCACGTGTGCCATAGGTTCGCCACCACCCCCCCCCACACTGGTCAGGTTCGAGAACCAGCTCAGTATCACTTCTGCCATATTCTCTTGGTCAGAGCAAGTCATGGAGCCCATCCAGAGTTGAGAGGAAGGGACATATTCCCTATCTCGTAACCGAAAGGATGTCAAAGACTTTGCTGCTATTTTTAATTTGTCACAATCCCCTCTCCATGCAAGAATACATTCCTTCTCTTTGAAGAGCTCCCAGATTCCCATCTCATAGCATCAGTACCCAGGCACTATCAGGATCAGGCTCAAGAGCCAGAATCTTGGCTTTCAGATCAGGTCCAGTTATGAATGTAACTCTTTAGTTTCATTCTGACTGTTGTCATCTTAACCTGTGAACTAGAGAAATAAATTTGTTAAGACAGTGGTAAGCTAAATGCAATAGGCATTCTCATTCAAAAATGGAGGGAATAGAAATCACAGAGTAGTTTCTAGTCTGGCATTTCTGAAATCTCGCTCACTATAGCTGACTTTTTTCTTTTTCTTTTTTTTTTTGTTTTCTAAGACAAGGTCTCGCTATGCAGACCTCACTATATAGTCTGGGCTGGCCTCAAATTCAGGCAATCCTCCTGCTTCTGCCTTCTGAGTGCTGGGACTACAGAACTAAGATACTGTGGCCATTACATCCAGCCACAGTTGACACTTTATCAGTCCTTCCTAGAAATTATGTGATAATATAATAAAATAATACACACATTATTTATATATTTAAAATAATTATATCAACATTATTCATGCAATTAGAATGATTTAATAGTTTACTTTTTAGCTCACCTTTCTCTATTAATAGTACATCATGCATATCTGATTTAAATCATTGGCTCTTTTGGCACTCCTTCCAGAAACTGAAAGCCTGCCAATTCTGTCACTTCATTAGGCATATTTTCTGTTGCCTAGATTACCACAGGTAACAATGTTGCCAAAATTGCTGCCACTTCAAAACCAGAGTCACATATTCTCCAGCCTCCAATAGCAATTGCTGTACTATGTGGTCACCCACAGTTTCCTCCAGGCTCTTCCACTTTCATGAACAGTGTCTTCAAGGTTTTTCCAGCTTCTGTCTTCTTCCTGGTTCCAAAATCATGGTTTTAGGTTATTGTTGTGGTAGCACTTCTCTTTCAGGTATCAAATTCTGTTCCCTTTTTCTATTGGTATAAAATAAATCATTCTAAAATCTGTCTAGGAAGAGTAAGCATTTTGTTATATCAACGTTTTGCTGCTTGGGAATCAGGCACAGATGTCTCAGTTGGGTGATTCTTAACCTAGATCCTTAGGTGATCTTGGGCTTCTGGGTTGGCTGGACAGGAAGGTCAGGATGGCTGCAGTCATCTGATGGCACGATGGCAGTTTTGGCTGAAAGTTGGGCTCACCTGGGTCTGCTGATGAAGTGTCTACACATGACCTCTCTAAGAGAGCAGCTTTAGGGTGATAGGAGCTCTTAACAGTGATCCAGGGATCCCAGAGATTGTGTTTTAAGAGGTAAGAGTTGGAAATTGTCAATTTCTTAGGTCCTAGAACTGGAATCTGACCCAGTTCCACTTCTGCTCTCTTCTATTGGCCAAACACTCACAGAGACCACCCCAATTCAAGAGCATGAGGTGTAGACTTCATCTGTCCATAGGTTTACAAATGGTTAATTTTTCGTTCTGAATTATTTGCTAGTACATAGCTGTTTGACTCGGTGGGCTAACTCAGCATTGCCTGTTCAAAGTTCTGGTTCCATTTCTCCCACTGCTTGGCTGTGTTTGAGCTGAGGCAAATAACCTTTGGGTTTCAGTTTCCATAAGAGATAAAATGGGGATGGTGATAGCTGTTGGCAGTCGTGGCTTTTGGGGATGTTATGCTTTAAAAAAAAAAATCAATATTCAAAAAGTGTACTTTAAAATGCTCTAGGAAGTAGAAGAATAAATTACCATAACTAACTGGACCATTACCAATTCATCACATTTTCATATTGAGGGTGAAAATTGGGTCTCAGTATTTTACAGGATCAACAGGGCCACAAAGGAACTTGGGTACACACAGCCCTCACACCATGAGCTCACAATCCACAACTTAGTGTCCTTTCCCTCGGTGCTTCCTGTGCCAGGTGATGTATGTTTTCTTACTGTATCTTTGCAACATCCTTTTGAGGTGGGTGGTGTTATTAACATCTTAATCATGTTTTCTGAAACATTTTTGTTCTGGAGTTTAAATTCTAACACATCCTTTGCATATTTATACATAATACATCTTAAAAGAATCTAATGAAAACTTTAGTAGAGTCTGTAGGGGTTTTAAAAAAATTCTAGGAAAATTGTCCTTTTAAATTTTATACAAATATTCTTGCAAAATGAGATAAAAGCAGATCTATGAAGATATAAAAATGATATAACCAGGGGAAGATAAAAAATAGAAGGAAAGCGATTAGCAGAAGCTCATTTTACTTCCGCAAGTCAGAAGGAAGATGGGATGACTCTTACAGTAGGAGGGAATGGGCTGGAAGCCAAGAATGAAGTGTGCACCCTTGAAGAGTTTCTTGACTCCTCTGAAGTTTGCTTTGGTGTCTTATGAAAGGCTGGACCTAGATGACCTCTAAGGTCATATCAACTTGAATACTTTCCTATGACTCCAAGAAATGGTGACAGAACGCTAAATTCAGTAAGTAAACCCACCTGTTAAAGAAGTAATGCTGTGGATTAGAGAATAGGATTAGAAAATGATAAAAAGAAGAGACAGGGGTTTGGAACTTTGGCCTGGAAAATAAAAATTAGTAGAATGACCATAAAGACTGGGAAAAGGGAAAGAAAAGAGCAGGCAAGGAGGAAAATCAAGATAAAAAATAATGCTAAGCTTGGGCATCAAGAAGGTAATTTTCAAAAAGTTTTATTTAATCTTTCAAGAAATGTTTATTGAGCTTTCCAAGTATCAGGCCTTACTTTAGGTATTTAAGTTGTAGTTGCTTTCAAAAACTCTCTTTCTTCATAGAGCTTACATTCTAGGCTGGGGAATTCAGGCAATAAATAGGATAAGCAAGTAAAATGTATGGTATGTTGGATAATGATAAGTGGTTAGCAGAGGAATGAAGTGGGGTCGTGTGGGTAGAGCATGTAACATCAGGTGGACTGGGCCAGGAAGACTTTACCGAGTAAGGATCTGAAGAAAGTGAAGTGAATAAGCTATGGTTATTTTGCTTCCTAGTTCATGGGGGAAATGAAAGCACTCAGAAGAACAGTCCAGGCAGGGAGACTAGCAAGTTCAAAGCTTCATAGATGGGAGCATGCCTGATATATTCAAGGAAAGGCTAGGAAACCAGTAAAGCTACAATGGGATAAATGAAGAGGAGGAGAGAAGGAGGGGAGATGACAAAAAAGACTTTGGAAGATGTTAAGCAGAGAGTGCCATATGACATACTTGAATATGATAATTTTATTGCTGTTTCAACAGAATCTAAAAAAGAGCAAGGACAGAAAAAGGAAGAGCAGCAAGGATGCTACTGCACCAACCCAGGTAAGAGATAATGGTGGTTCATACTAGAACCGTAGCAGTAGAAGCAAGAAGTGGTGAGATTCTGGTTATATTTTGAAGGTGGAATCAACAGGATTTGCTGGATGGATAGTATGTAGGTATAAGAAAAGAGAAGTCAAGGAAATGTTAGGGGTTTTCAGCTGAACTAAGAGTTACCAGTTGCTGAGATGGGAAGGACTGTGGGAGGAACAATTTTGGTGCTGGTGTGGGGTTAGCAAGTTTAGTTTAGATCTGTCAACCGCTGGGTGACTGTTAGGTATCCAGTCCATGCTTAAATCAGTGTCACAGATACCTGATAATAGGGTTTACAGGAGAGAGTCAGGCTGCAAGTACAAAGTTATTAGAGCTATAGCATTGGACGGGGTTCCCAATGGTGTAAGAATACATAGAAAAGATACCCAATCCAGGGACAGCCTGGGGCCTGAAACCCAGAGATAAGAAACATTAAGGGAAACAAAGAGATCAGAGAAGTAGGAGAAAAACCAAATAAGCAGAGAGTCTTGGAAGCCCAGTTTTAAAAATAAAGGTGTTTTCAAGGAAGAAAGACTGATCAAGTCCAAAGTTTCTGATCTTTGGCACCTTGATAAGAGCAGCACCTACAGAGAAGTGTAGGTGAAATCTGATTGGAGTGAGGTCAAGAAAGAATATGAGGGCTGAGGCGAGAAACTGGAGACAGAGGGTATGGGTGCTCCTTTGAAGGACTTTACTCTAAGGGGAATCAGAGGAAGAGGATTAGCTAGAGAGTAATTATAGTAAAGAAAGTTTTTTAAATATATGAGAAAATGAAATGTTTGAATGTTGATTAGGGTCTTCAACCAGAGGGAAAACTTGATGCAGAAGAGAGAAGAGAAATTTGCTGGAGCAATGTCCTTCAGCAAGTGAGGGGGATAGGGTTAGTGACAGATGAGGAATTGTCTTCACACGACACATGGCTAGGAGGGAAGCCTGAGCAAATAGGCATAGTTCGAGGTAGGAGAGGAGACCTGATGCTGGGGCCTGAGTGAAGTTTGAGTGGTATCTCTCTCTCAGTGAATTAGGAAACAAAGTTTTGAGCCCAGGATGTAGACAGCAGAGGTGTTTGGAAGTTTGATAGGGAGGAGTAGATATAAAAGAGCTTTTCAAGGGAGTAAGTGAGTTAATGGACTAGGAAAATACAGTCTGGTTGCTGGAGGTTGAGAACACATCATATGAAAGTTTCCTAAACTTACTTATAACTGGTGTTTCTAAAACTGATATTCTCAAACTAAGTTACTTAAGGCTGACCATTCTCTAATTAGTATTCTCAAAGCAAGACGTTCCTTGCAACACCAACTGAGAAGCAAGGAGAAAAAGTCTAGAAGCAAATAAAGGCCCTAAGATGCAGCTGACAGAACATAACCAGGTCTTCTGGAACCCCAACAATATTTCTTGGAATTATTTTTCTCTACCTTTTTCATTCCTTACTTCCATGGACCCTTTCCTTGTCTGTGCTCGATTGGTCATGGATGGGTTTCAGGGAACAGATCTACTTTCTGTACTAGTGTTTGTTTTACTTCGATATCAGTCAGCTTGTTCTATAATATTCTCTAGTAATGAACCAGTTCTTGGTGGCTTATAGCAATCAGGATTTGTTTTCTCCCTTGTTCCATGTTGGGTGGAGGTCAGTTGCAGCTCTGTCCCACATTTCTTCCTTCTGAAATTGAGGGTGAAGGAATGCAGTCCATATTTAAATCATTCTATTTTCTGAGCAGAAAGAGAAGAGGAGTAGTGAAACACATGATGGCTCTCAAAGTTTCTGCTTGGAAGTGGTAGTTATCCTTTTTGATCACATTCCATTGGCTAAATCAGGTCACATGGTCAAGTTGATATCAATGGGTTGAGAAAGTATAAGCTTCTTTTCAGAAGGAAAACAAATAATTTGGAACAATCACATAATTAGGCACAACCTTTTCCAGGTGTAGTAGGAAAATCCATTCTCAAGCAACACAATGAGGCAAATTACCTCTTCCCAACCATGATTGACATTTAGCCCTCCAAGGTAACCTCAGGGTGATTAGACACTTGGTCTGAATTTCTGGGTATAATTTTATGTCTGGCCCTGTCAGTTATTTAGCTTTAGAATTTAGAAAATACCTTACTTCAGGAGGCAGGTCATGTATTTCATCATATACATTATAGTTATGGTATTGTAATAGTAAAAGCAACAATATTAAATTTTACACAGTACATCATATAAGCTGGAAAAGCAAGCTCCACCCAGGCCAGTCTTTTGAGACCTTAAGTTCTACAGACCAATTTTATAATATTAAATGATAAATAATAGCAGAAAGAGCTCTGCTTGCAACTTAGTAATAGAAAAATCCAGATATGATTGAGGATTCCCCATTCATTTCTTGTCCAGCAAGGAGATTTTTATAGCTTGACAAAGAAGGCATTTATTTCTTCAAGATGCTGGGTAGCCCCAATCTTGAGCCTGTAATAGACAACTTCCTGTGCCTAGTATGGCACTCTGGATTAAGCAATGGGTTGTGGCAAGGGATTGCCTGGCCATGGCCTAGCTGTGGTTTCACAGAGATGAGAAACAAGACCTGCAGTGAGATTGCATGACTGACACAAATGCCTGGTGTAGTGGTTTAAAAGTTTCCATGTTTCCTCTGCTAACATAAAAAGGGTTAGGTCTGCTGCTGTTTGTCCTTTAGTTGCATTTTAGTGAGTCTTTTCCTCTTTGTGAGTATGTGATTCTGACAGCTGACAAAGGACAGTCCAAAAAGTTAGCTAGTGCCCAAATTGTGTGCTGCTGTGGGAATTTCTCCTCATAGATTCGTCCAATGACCCTGCTCTGGAGAAAACGCTCAGTTAATACATTCCCAGTGGTAGCTCAGTTCCCATCAACTCACCACTGGTGCCTTCATTAGGGTGTTTTTCTTTCTTCAAGAATTTGTTTTCAGTCCACCTCAGTCTCCCACCACAGTGAATTTACTGTCCATGAAGGAGACTAGGGAGCTGTCTCCTGAGACTACCTCTGGTTTATTTTTAGTACAGGCAGTTGGGAAAAATTACTTTCTCTCACTGACTGTACCAGGACTGTTTTAATTCCAATTTAGAGTTCTGCACTTCTCACACTGGAGTGAGAATGAGCAGATAATCCACACCTTCACCTTAAAGATGGAGTCATCCTATTACAACAATCATAAACAATTTGCCAAGGGTTACTCTGACACCCCTTTGTAACAGTGCTTTTCTTTGGTCTGTTGGTCTCAGGTCTTAAGATGTTTAACTGTGTAAAATTGCAAGTTAGTCTGACTAAATCGGTCAGATTGCTGGTAAAAGCCCCACTCCCTAAATCCCAATTGATCCCCTGAGCCATCTGTACTCCCTAAAATGTTATTATTACTATCAAGCTACATGCTCAAAAATTATTTCCCTTGGGAACACACATCTAACTCAGACAAAAAGATTACTTTTTTTCTTTTTAACTCACTCAATACCCTTTGTACTAGTTATTTTGTTTGTTTGTTTCTTTTTGCCTTTCATCTCATTCAACACTATATTGAAATGCTATGATCTTCCTAGGTTCCTGTCTACTATTAGGTTGAACCACAAGAAACTGTCACTATTCACCTGTTTTTGACCCACAAAGCAGTGATTTCATATAGTTCAAGCTAACTCAATTGAATGAGGAAGTAAATTGTCAAAATTCTCATGCAGAAAAATGCAAATTTTTGACCAAGTCAACTACTACTTGATAATATGGAATAGAGTTCAGTGTGTATCCAAGCTTTAACACAATTCTTTGTAACGTGGAGGGTAATCAGCATATTAAATGAGAATTGAATATTTTGGAATATTGGAAGGGAATTTAAACTTCTGATAGGAAAAAACGTGGAACCAAGATGCATACATGTATGTTAATGTGCCAAGATTCTCTGTGTGCGATGGCCATGACTGCTGCTTGGCATGTGCAACTTGCTTAGGTCTTTGCAAAACTAGCTCTTTGATTTCTCTTGCTCTCTTTCTCTCTCTCCCTCCCCTTTAATGTTCAGACTTCTGAAAAGAGGAAGCTACACTCACTTTTTCCACATTCTCTTTCTTACTCATTGTGTACCACACTGTAATCTGGTTTCTGTCCCCAACACTCCACTAAAACGGTTTCTGCCAAGGTCACTAATGACCTTTGATTGACAAATACAAGGAAGTGTTTCTGTTTTTATCTTACTTAATTTCCCAGTTGCATTTGATAGGATGGGCCAAGATTTGTTTCTAAATATTTCATCTCTTTCCCTGACGTGTACGGTTTATAGATGTATTCCCCCAAACCAGATATTTAGCTTCTTTAGGGCATGAGAGCTGTGTCTTACTCAGTTTATCTTAGGGCCCGGCTTAGTACAGGTACTGGAATGTCCTTATCTACATTTGTTGAATGAATGAAAGAATGAATTAGTGAATTTAAGGCACTGTATTAATTATTAGTCATTGGAAATATTTAGTTTCTCTTTGTTTTAATACCTGCTTCAGGGACTTCTCCACCTGATTCACTTCCACATACATTTTTAATAATGTATAGCTGGCAGGGTGCCACATTCTGCTTGTTTCCATCTAGAAATTCTACTAGATGGTTGGGTAAGGCAGGTAAGGGGACTACTGGTTCTTTTTCACCTGGCTTCCTCTAATTCTGAGCAGTTAGAAATATGCTGCCCCATCAGTCATGGTTTTTAGAAACTCCTAACTCATATAAAAAAAGACTTATGTTCTTTTTCCCTTTCCTGGGATATATCACTTAGAGATCCAATAAAGTGTATCCAGCAAATGATCACTTGTTGCTTGCTTAGACATATGACCTGACGAAAAGAAGAAAAGAAAATGAGAAGACTCAAGGAGAACAAAAGAAACACCCCAACAGAAAATGTGACACATGCATACACTTTATGCAAGTTTAATTTCTGTTGTTTTGGTTGGAAAACAGCTGCAGGTGTCCTCTAATTATAACCCCATTTTCACAAATA